GTGTGACCGGACATCGAAATGAATGTCGACTCAAAGCGGACACCGAGGTGCTTGCGCCAAATTGCCCAGGACGCTCAAGCCACAAGGATTGCTTTTGCACGAGAGCAGGCTCTGCACGGCGTGCTTTTATCTGTTTGGGCTTTTGAGCATCAGAAGGAGTATCTGCATCTGAGGAATATTTCAATACACCAAACTGCAGAAAAATGACGAGAAAAAGAAAATGAAACATTGCAGAAGATAAAAAGTACAAGCAGGCCCCGTAAATTTAGCAAACACTTCTTATGCATAATCAAGATACCGAAAGTGTTCAAACACGTAAAAGCCTGTACATCAGCCAGTGTTTCTGATAAAAACCAGAACAGAGCTAGTTCTGTATCGATTAGGTCATGGTTACTGACATGCGAGTTTCAAGGTTTGAACGCAACCACTACCTTCCAACTTGGGTGACTGGTGGCTGTTGTCAAACAGCTCGATAGGACACCCAGTGAAACTGTGATCCACCATTTCGAGTTTTATAACTGGTCAAAACGAACAGTAGATCTTGACAACAGTTTGCCTCTCTTTTGATAATCATCTTTGATCGTATGATGGCAGATATTTCCATTGGATAACACAATTAATCGATGCAACTTCAACGTTGGCAGAAAAATTCAAGGATACTGCACAATGGATACGGAAGCAGATTCCAAACTGTCGCGGGCACAGAGATTCAGTTTTCATCATCCCCACCATATTGTGAAAATAATTAAAACCACAAAACTAAGCGACCGATAGAAACATACAACAGGAACCTCGTGGTGCACCTACCTGACGAATAAGAACCGAATCTGCAACCTTTTGATGACCTTTAGCATTCGTACGAGAAGCGGGAATTAAACACAAGCCAGGTCCGATACACCAAGATTGGTTATTGCCATGTTCCAATTGTAAAACCATTCCTGGAATCACCAGACGATCGATGAAAAGACGAAAATCATCGTTACGCTCAGAGTGCTGTCTGGCGCCGACCAGAATCTCATCAATAGCTCGAGAATCCACCTCCATCCTGAAAATGAGAGAATTTTTCAGTGATTTAAGCGAAAGGAAAAGATTTCCAGCTTCTATCTAGAGGACTTTCTCCGCTGAAAGACCCGAAGCGAATCCCCTAAACACACATCTATGTAGCAATATTGATTACTAAGAATTCAGCTTATTCATTGAATACAGTTGTAGAAACNNNNTTCAGAAAGGAAGTAGACTTTAACCGATCAGGTGTTTCCTGGGGACATGGTGAAGGGGAGGAGGGACTGCTAACCCCTACAGCCACCCCCAGTATTCCATCCACATTTACCATTGCTCATTGCATCACAGTCAATTTATCGTAAATATATTACAAACATTGGCCAAAAACCCTGATTCCAAACCAACCATGAGGAAGCGTACGAACCACACACAAACTTCCTGGTTGTGGCAATAGTCACCGGCTGGATTGAGCANCGACTCACAATGGACTGCGGTTTTCACACACCGCCCCGCTGCCTTGCCGGTCAGACTTTGGCTAGGCAAAGGCTCCGGTTGTGGATTCTTCAATAAGATTCCGCCCACATACAAATCACGGACCATTCTTCTTTTTTATAAAGATTTGTTTGGCACACAGTCTGAGTTCAGGTGTGTATGAATATATATATTGGATGCTCGCATACAAAATTCCACTACAGCTTTTCATCTCAAAGTTACTCCAGGGTCAGTTTCAGTTTGTACAACCATTAACCATGCACTTCCGTGTGCCGGCTTTGGTTACCGTCTCACGATTGACCATTTGGATGAAGCAGTAGGAGGAAGACAAGAAAATTGAAAGTGGAGTGGGAGAGAAGCTGCAGAATTTTAGTAGCCTAAGGTTGCAAAGAAGATGAGATGCACGAACGTCACTGTTTACGACACTCGGTCTTATCACTGTGTCGCTAACCATTAATTACAACGGTCGCGAGGTTCCATTCAGGGTGCCTACCACGATCTATATGACCGAGTATCCTGTTAAGGGTTTTCA